TGAAATCCAAACCTTTGAGAGGGCAATGTGGAATCTTTTTTATTATTTTTTCCCGAGAATGAAGGCATTTCACATCGATTAAAGAAAGTGGAGAATCATGATCGCCCACGTCCTGATTGAATAAGGCATTTTCTTTTAATCAGTTTATTCGAATTATGCAAAAGATGATGCACATAAGAATAGTTGCTGGAAATCGAACACACCAATTCGCTTATTATGTGAATTTGTGTCATATAGAACATGAATGGAATCGTCCGTTTATATAAATAAGCGGAGATGAGGAAGGTTAGCATTGGGTTCATAGCTAAGTGTACCTTCGCGTAGTAAACCTTCTATTTTCATTACGTACCTACCAGTTTTTCTTTCCCCTCTTTTATCTCGAAAACACGAGCTAAAAAGCTTTCCTTCCTTCCTTCCTTCCTTCCTTCCTTCCTTCCTTCCTACCTACCTACCTACCTACCTACCTACCTATCTATCTATCTCTATATGTTAGTATGTTCATATCTATCTCAGTATTTTCATATCTATCTATCTATCTATCTATCTATCTATCTATCTATCTATCTATCTATCTATCTATCTCATCTCATTCTTTTCATATCTATCTATCTATCTATCTATCTATCTATCTATCTATCTAAATCTTTTCATATCTATCTATCTATCTATCTATCTATCTATCTATCTATCTATCTATCTATCTAAATCTTTTCATATCTATCTATCTATCTATCTATCTATCTATCTATCTATCTATCTATCTAATTCTGTTTATTTCTGTCATATATGACATAAATGAATGGAATCGTGCGTTTATATAAATAAGCAGAGTTGAGGAGGTTTAGCGTTAGGTCCATAGCCAAGTGTACCTTCGTGTAGTAAACCTTTTTATTACTTACCTGCGAGTTTGTCTTCCTTATTTAATTCCCTCTGTTATCTCGAAAACACGAGATACAATACTTGGCCATTTTTAAAGCAATCGAAATGTCCACTTCGCGGGTTTTTAATTTTATACGAATAAATATATATAGCTATATCCTTTAATATATTTTATATGCGTTTACTTACCAAGGAGTGATTGATATTTACGGATTATCGACCTTTTAGTAGTTATTTAAAGTCAAAATATATTTTGGGACTGTAAAAGTTTTTGTTGAGATAATAATGATTTTCTGTTACAAGTCTTACTAATGAACCCATAACTGGGGGAGAAAAGAGATGAATCTAGGTATTTCGCAAGGGTATTTGCCCCGTAAGGGAATATAAACAACCCAACTGGAATTGGGACTCGGCTCCCCGACTTTTTATTCCGAGCCACTCGCACATCCAATCTCACAGCATCTGGTATTCCCAAAGGGTCACCCATCTAGGTACTGAACAGACTCGACTTTGCTTAGCTTCCGTGTATGACTGCACGGGCGCAAACGAACACACGAACACAATACGCAAAAAAAAAAAAAAAAAAAATACTTATACCAATGTGAAGAGCATTTAAAAAAGATAAAATCAAAAAATATAAGCAGTAAATTACTGATACCCACTGACGAGTGGACGGATAGGTCTGCCTACGAAACTCTTGAGTCGGATGCTAAAGGTAATATCAATCAGCTAAGAGACAAACATTTACAATATATATATATATATCTATATATAGATACATCTAGTGAGCCAGACAAACCTACCTAGGTTTCACCTAAACGGATCGTCAGGGAAAGTTTGGCTCTACGGTTGTATTGAGCTCTTTTGTTAGTTAGTTGTTACTCGTATCGGGGTTTTTTCTTTGGGCTTCAGACCTGCATCTGTGCGATTTTTTTGTCGGCAGAAGTCCATGTTTGTAGCTCTTTCTTTTTTTAAAACCTTTTTTTCCCTCGAGATTGATTTGATTAGCAAATCAAAAATTCGAGGGTTTTTCGAAACGAGTCTAGTTATCTATATTTATATATATATATATATATATATATATATATATATATATATATATATATATATGCGTGTGTGTGTGTGTGTGTGTGTGGAGTGGAAATAAGCATTTTATAGTATATATATTCATATATACGTCTGCTGTTTTTAAATATATTTGCCTTAAAAACATTTACTGCTTAAGTATATAATATATATATATATTTCTCGGACATTCAGGCCGGTAAATGTTGTTTAATACTGTTTATTATAAACAGAGCATTTACTTAAATATTTGTATATTTGTCCATTCCATAATGTGTGACGTCATTTGTTTACATGTGGATACGCTATGAGCAGATATGGATGTACGTGAGAAATTCATGGAAGATTAAAGTTTATAAACAGTAAAATCGACATTGCTAACCGAACGCTTCTCTGTGGCCGAAACGGTTAAGGCACGTCAGGCTATATGACGGTTCCGTATATGATACAGGTTCGATTCCTGTCGGAGGACGAAAATTTTCTATGAAAGTTTCTCGGACATTCAGGCCGTTAAATATTGTTTAATACTGTTTATTTTAAAACAGAGCATTTACTTAAATATTTTTATCTATAAAAAGAATGTATAAACATAAAAATGTCTTTATATATAGCAATCAGCAAGCAGGGCACTTCATAACTGAAGGCCAATACGTTATAAGATGGAGCAGCCACTGTTTAAAAATTACATGTATATGTGTGTATTTATGTATGTATATGAGAATATGTGTATGTGTGTACATGGGTATATGTGTGTGTAGGTGGGTACACGCCTATATGTATGTATGTACGTGTATATGTTATTGTGTATGTGTGTATACGCATGTCTTTTTGAACATAAAAATATAGGTCCTTGCTAGATTAGATAATCGTTATATTAATTTTTTATATGTTTATATTTGATTTGTAACCTGTAGTCGATATTAATTTTATCAAATTTTCTTAATTACACAGCGGCCCTTTCAGTAAATGCCCTTCAGTTTTAGTTTCCCCCGCCCCATTTCTCTCCTCCACCCCTTTTTCTTTTCCTCTCCCTCCCTCTTCTTCTGATCTTTAAGATTAGATCGTCTATATTGTGTGTGTATGTCACCACAAAATGTATCCTTTCCGGTTACATCTTTAATGTATTAGACATCCGACAACATTCATATTTCTCTGACTTAAACCGCCTTTAACTCACCTCTCTAAAACTTCTCTCTGTTAAGTTTTAATCTCCCATCTTCTCTCGTCTGTTACCCCTCTCTTTAGCTCTAACATTCGTCTCACACTCTCATACTTACACTCTCTCTAAATTCTATTTTTTATTTCCGGAGTTGTTTTTTCTGTTTTCTTTTTGAATTTCTAGGTCTGATGAATTGAATCGTATTTACGATTCCAATGGAATAAATTATGACCATGGAATATTAGTGTTTAAGCCTTTTTATTATATCCTTACTCTGTCCTGGACATTGAGTTCTACCTGGATTCTATCCTCTTGGAATTTTTTTATTCAAAAAATATATATGCATGTATGTATATATATTTATATATTTTGCATATGTATGTGTATATTTACCACTAATATTATCTATCTATCTATCTATCTATCTATCTATCTATATATATATATATATATATATATATATATATATATTAGCGTAAGTCTATCCTGGCACTTGTATGTGAGTATGTATATGGATTGGTGTAAGTCCTTTCTGGCAGTTGTAAGCTAGCAGCTTTAGCAGGATTATTTTTCTTTAAAGTTTTCGCCAACTTCGAGTGTTCTCCCAAAGAGAATACAGTGTCTCCTGGAAAACTTATCTGAGACCTGACCATCTGAGAACGGAATATTCGCTCGACTTAGGTCAGCAGTTCGCCGTTAACAGCGAAGGGTCCGAATGTCTCTCTTCGTCGAAGATTTGGAGGAGAACACTTGAAGGATCATTGGCAATCTATTCGACAAGAAAATGACAAAAGCACCAAATAAAATAATATATATATATATATATATATATATATATATATATATATATATATATAGGTGTAGGTGTACGCGTGTCTATGTGTGTTTATCTATCTAAGTAAATTGGAAGTGTAATGGATGCTTCTGGGAAGGAGGCAGCCATTTTCTTCCTCTGGGGAAAAGTTAACGAGTGGCCGTGCGTGGTGGTGGCTGGGAACGACTATGGTTAGAGTAGGGGTGATCTCCGGGAAATCAAAAATGCTTCGACGAGCTGGTGGTCATCGAAGGGACAGAATTATCGTTTAGTTGTTGAAAGAAGTCTGCGAAAATGGACCAAGTGGTAGATCACGGGAAAGGGTTTCAACTCAAGCAAGGCAATAAAGCTACTAAGACGTAAGGGGTTACTGAATATGAGGAAAAATATTATTAAAGAGAGAGAACAATAGAAGAACACGATAAAAGATAACGATTAATATTGCACTTAATTTCTTGAAGATCAAAATTGACTGGGAATCAATAAGCCGGAAGAGAGTTCCACAAGCAAGAAGTGCGAGAGAAGAAAGTGTTCGCATAGAACTTACGGTTACATCTAGCCATTTCAACTGAAAAAATGATAAGGCCCTACTGCTAATCTAGTTCTGTGCTTATATTTATAACGTCTACGTAGTATAGAGGAAAGTAATATTCATTTTGTAAAATACAAAAATGTGGCACAAGGCCAGAAGGAGGGATGATGAAAGCCGGTCTTCATCTGTCTTGTAAATAATCTTACTTTGCCAGTATTACTGACCCAAACATACCACAGTATTCCTAACACGAAAACAACACCTTCTTTCTTACCATTCTTACTACAGTCACCACAATACCTCAGGGCCTCGATAAAGTGCTAACTAGTCCCAATATGTACCATAGAGGAAAGTTTATCAGAACAATTGCCAAGAGGGTATTTATAGACAAGGCACAGGGACTCCTTTCCTCGCTTATTTAATATTAGGCCATTTCATCTTCTAAAAGGCATGAACGCACGTTTTCTTTTCTATTGTCTATTTTTTTTTACGAGTTGATTTATCTTATTATCATTGGTTAGCTACATTTTCCAATTTGTGACCGTGAGTGGCTTGCGGCCATATCACGTTGAAACACCGGTTCTCGTACGATCACCGAAGTTAAGCAACGTCGTGTCTAATCAGCAGCTAGATTGGTGACCATTGTGAATATTAGGTGCTCAACGCTTGGATGGGCGGGTGATATAATGGATAATGAGAATCGGAGAGCCGAGATTCAATTTGTGACAGGTATGAATCCACCGCGTCTCCCCCAGCTATGGGTTAATTAGTAACAAAATCAATTGTATCTTAAAATTAATGCTTTTAATCTAAAAATATAGTCTGGTTTTAAATAACCTGTAATGGGTTGATAAGCCGTAAAAAAAAAACTAGTCAATCAATCAAATACTGATTAGCTACACAGGAATGTTTTTAGATTTATTTACATTCTATGAAATGTAAATGTATAGAAACTATTGTGACCACAAAGCGAGGGGTCAGTTGATATATTGATTGTAATATAAAATTGGTCCCTCACTTAATATCCACGTTGTAATTTCTTGTTTATCAAATTCTGATTAGGCATGAATTTACCTCTCCCCCAAGCTATATTTTGTGATGTCAACGAATACTCGTTGTCACTTTCGTAATGCTCGTTGTAGTAGAGACTTTGTAATCGCAGATACAACTATAGTAACGCCAGTGAACAATACTGGTGTCAGACGCCTTCCAATAACACTCGCATTAATAGTACTTGCTCGATAATACTCACTCGAATAGTAACCACAGAATAGTGATCCGAGTAGTAATTTGTATAGTGATCAGTATAGAGAATAGCGTGGAGAAGAGAATGGCGATTTGTATAGTAATAGAGGATAGAACAGAGACAGTGATCCGTATAGTAAGAGATGATAGTGTAGAAATAGTGATCCGTATAGTAAGAGATGATAGTGTAGAAATAGTGATCCGTATAGTAATAGAGGATAGAATAGAAATGGTGATCCGTATAGTAATAGAGGATAGAACAGAGACAGTGATCCGTATAGTAAGAGATGATAGTGTAGAAATAGTGATCCGTATAGTAATAGAGGATAGAATAGAAATGGTGATCCGTATAGTAATAGAGGATAGAACAGAGACAGTGATCCGTATAGTAATAGAGGATAGAATAGAAATAATGATCCGTATAGTAATAGAGGATAGTGTAGATATAGTGATCCGTATAGTAATAGAGGATAGTGTAGAAATAGTGATCATTTAGACGCCACGCTAATTCCCATTTATGCGTTTCCTCTATGGTCACATGATCTACTTAATCCGAAATGGGATCGCCTGTGCTTGCTATGTGACGATCTGTGTTCAAACTCCATTGTCGGCATCGACAATTTTTTTCCAATATAACTGTTGTAGCCATTCGACGAACTTAGGCATTTAACGATTCTACGGGACTTACGCACATGCCGCTTAAGGCGCATTACAGGAGCCGGGATCGGCTACGGCAAACGAAGGCCAATTTCGACAAAATTACATTCGACGCTTAGGCATTTAACGCACTTACCTTCCAAGGCGCATTACGGCAGTCCGGCTACGGTAAACGAAGGCATTCGACGAACTTGGGCATTTAACGATTCTACGGGACTTACGCACATGCCTCGTAATGCGCATTACGGGAGTCCGGCTACGGCAAACGAAGGCCTTCTACGGGACTTACGCACATGCCTCTTAAGGCGCATTACGGGAGTCCGGCTACGGCAAACGAAGGCCTTCGACAAAATTACGCGCTTTACGCACTTATCTTCTAAGGCGCATTACGGGAGTCCGGCTACGGTAAACGAAGGCCAACGAACTTAGGCACTACTTCGGGCTAGTGATCCCATGACCACTGTCCAGGCACGACGCACGTCCGGCTACGGCAAACGAAGGCATTCGACGAACTTAGGCATTTAACGATTCTACGGGACTTACGCACATGCCTCGTAATGCGCATTACGGGAGTCCGGCTACGGCAAACGAAGGCCTTCTACGGGACTTACGCACATGCCTCTTAAGGCGCATTACGGGAGTCCGCCCCCATTCACATAAATACAGTAGTAAATACTGTATGTTGGTCTGCAGTTGGAGATTATCCAGGTAAGATGAATCAGAATAGAATACAATTCCAACGTTCGTACATTTAATTTAAAAGAGGGTTCAGTACAGAGTAGAGCAATATTATTTATTTTAGGATATTAAAACAACAATGTCAATCGACAAATTCTGATGCCTTGATCCTGATCACTGTCTTTCTGTTTATCCATTCTTCAAGCATCCCTTTTTACTCTTACTTTCACTCTCTATAACATCTTGTGGGCTAGTGGCAATCCCGCCTTGCTTGGGGTGATATGCTTAAAAAATATATATACGTAGACTGGACGTCACTCTTTGCTATTCCAACGCGATTTTCTCGTTTTCTGTCATCTGATGAAAAACACGTTAAATTTCTGGCCTTGTCTGGTTCTGAGATCGCTAATTTACTGTTTGCTTCTTGGACGGTTCCTATGGCCGATAAGTAAAAAAAAATATTTCCTTTATTCTTCGCTTCCATTTACTAGGCAACGAGAACGATTGAAAGAATAATTGATTCTTCCATTTACGCTTCTTCCGCTATGGGGATTGTTATGTCCATAATATAAACAACACAGACAGAACGGAGCGGGATGGCTGTAAGGAAAAAGAATGACAAACATGCTTTGTCCTCAGAGCGAACTTTTATATATCTCGAAATACACAAAACTAAATATATATATATATATATATATATGATTCGCAGACAGTAATGTTTCGCTGGATCACAGCTCCTCAGTGCGACTAGACATCCGAATGGTTCAAGCCAGCACCAAAAACCGACCGATTTGGTGTCAATCAGAGTTTCTAACACTGAGCTATCTTCATTACTATATATATATATATATATATATATATATATATATATATATAGGATTGGTGTAGATGGAAGAAATTACAATACCGAAAAACGCTATTCTTAAAAGAGTGCTCAATACAGAGTAGAGCAAATATGATTTATTCAAAAATTATAACAAAAACATGTTATGACATCACTACAAAAATAGCCATTTTGTTTCAACAATTGATTCAACACTTCAAGTGATGGTGTTGAATGTAGAACACCATTCCAGACTATTACTTGATAAGACACCAGACGTGTTGAAACAAAATGGCTATTTTTGTAGTGATGTTATGACATGTTTATGCTATAATTTTTAAATACACACACACACACACACACACATATATATATATATATATATATATATATATATATATGTTGTATAGGAATAAAGGGTTGTTGCCGACACCGTAGTTTGAACACAGATCAGCTGACGATTCTATTATTAAATAAGTAGATCACGTGATCGTAAAGGAACCGTATAAATGGGAATTAGCGTGATATTTAAGTTCTCATCGTATATATATATATATATATATATATATATATATATATATATATATATATATATATAAAATGTCGTTGCCTATACGGTAGTTTGAACACAGATCACCAGTGAGCAAACACGGACGATTACATTATTATATAAGTAGATGACGTAATTGTAAAAGAAACATATAAATGGGAATTAGCGTGATATCTTCGTGATCGTAATTCTCTGCACTCATTCTTTATACTAATCATTATATGAATTACTATTTGGCGATTACTATTTGAACAAGTGTTATTAATGCGAGTATTATTTGAAGGCGTTTCTACTACCAATGCTTGCGTTTACAAAGTTTCGACTACAACGAGCATTTTGGAAGTGATAACGGGTATTTGTTGACTTAACGAAAGTTAGAACGGTTAACTGTCTAACAACATATATATATATATATATATATATATATATATATATATATATATATATATATCCGAGCCGCAATCCATTACACCAGCCGAGTTCGAATTCCAGTCGAATCCATTACATTCACTTACGAGTTAATACACTTGGGAATGGTATAATGGTATGACTCGTCTTCTTCACCCCAGATATGCGTAAATAGCAGGGCAGACTGGTTTCTATAGCCTTGGATGGCAACTGGTCTAGGAGAAGGACAACTCTGAATTCAAAACTTGCGGAGGGTCTTTTGGGGACCTTGTTCACCAGCTATCTGTATTCTGCTCTCCAAAAAGTCTGGTTGGTTCTGCAAATCATATGTGCGGTTAGTCTGGCTATCAGTTTCTAGGAACTTAGTTGTTTTTACCCACATATGTCGACATTGCTGCTGGAGAGAGTATATATATATATATATATATATATATATATATATATATATATATATATATATATATATATATATATATATATATATATATATATATATATATAATATAAAGAATGAGACAACCTTAAGGTTCGATGTCCTTAAGGTTATCTCTTTCTTAAATATTTAATTAATATTTGCTCTGGTGTTACATTGAGCTCTTTGGATTATACCCTCTTTGGAATTATCCACACGGATTGCCAAACTCTTCATTACCTTACTATATATATATATATATATATATATATATATATATAAGGCAGGGTGTGTGTATGTGTGTGTAACGAATGCACGGCCGCAATTTTCGACGGATTTGCACCAAAATTTACATGCACATGCTCCAAGACCGACTAGGCATTTCCCAACTCCATCGAGAGTGGAAATAATTGATATTTTCATGCTTCTACGGGTGTTTTCATGTAGTTTGCGGCCATTTTCTACTGGCCAGAGTGAGAGCCAATAGCTGGCTGCCACGAATAGGTAGGAAGATTCTATTGGCCATACGAATGACACGAATGTTAACTAGCATGCTAGCATGAAAAAAAAAACTCGATAGCTGCATTCGTCACAAGTGGGAAAAATTTAAATCTGCGTGGCACTTTACTCCAAATGGCTCATTCACTTGCTTAAACTCAACGTTGATTCTGATTCCGCAGAACTGGGTTGGGTGTGAAAAAGTATTTGTTGTTAACATTCTTTTTTCATTCGGTTTTTCCAGTTTCGAGTCCTTTTTTTAAAGCTGATCATTTTGTGTTCATTTTGCTTAGTTCTTTTTTCGTAACAGATTTAATGTTTAGTATAGTGCTTAGAAAAAAATCGCAGTGTGAGATAGGCAAGAATTAAGGCATGTAGCAACATCAGCA